TATATCATTAAAAAGGTAAAACACAAACAAACAAACGCCCAGAGAGAAAACTTATTACCGCATCTTAAATTAAAATTCACGACTGCAAATGGTGTATGAAAATGAACGTTGTGTAGTTCTTGCGATTTCTTTGTCCATTTGTAAACGGTTTATGAAAATGAACGTTGTGTAGTTCTTGCGATTTCTTCGTCCATTTGTAAATGATTTATGAAAATAAACGTTGTGTAGTTCTTGCGATTTCTTCGTCCGTTTGTAAATGATTTATGAAAATAAACGTTGTGTAGTTCTTGCGATTTCTTCGTCCATTTGTAAATGATTTATGAAAATGAACGTTGTGTAGTTCTTGCGATTTCTCCGTCCATTTGTAAATGGTTTATGAAAATAAACGTTGTGTAGTTCTTACGATTTCTTCGTCCATTTGTAAATGATTTATGAAAATGAACGTTGTGTAGTTCTTGCGATTTCTCCGTCCATTTGTAAATGGTTTATGAAAATGAACGTTGTGTAGTTCTTGCGATTTCTTCGTCCATAAACATGAACGCGGAAGCTTTCAAAGTGAGATTAGACAGCGTATTCAATGTGGTAATTAAAGAAGGATTTAACATTGGGTAAGAAATATCATCTAAAACCCAAGAGAAGAAGAAGCAGAATACGTAAAAACAATACCAACAAGAACATAAATAAGAAATGCTAATTTAAAAACAAAACAAAAACAACACGTCTCGTGCATGTACACAAGTTTCTTCCTTGTTACAAGTCTTAGAATTTTATAAAAGTAGCTAGGATTTTAACAAATACAATAGGTTGAAGTACGTTATGTTAAAAAGATTTTCAATTTGCAAATTAGCAAGTCACTTTACAGCCACACACGATATATAATGGCATTTAAACAGCATGTATATCAAAAGTGCATTTTCACATTATATATGATGCCACCAAAAATTGATCGTTTTGGGGATTGGTATGTAATGGCTCTTTCCGACTCAAAATATTCATCAATCACATCATAAAGATGTGTTCGATCGAGGATTTAGAATTTACAAGACTTGTACTTAATGGCATTGGAAACCAGAGAAATATGGATCAACTTTGGGTACCCAAGCCCATCCAAAAAAAGAGACCTGCAACGAGTCGTGACCCAGCTGTGGTAACCTTAAGTCCTGCATTTCGTCATAGGTTAAATTCCAGAACACAAAGGTTAGAGGCAAAACTCGTCCATATGCCCCAGGCAACAATATGCAACATTATCAAGAAGCAGAACTCCATGTCGGGAAAATCAGGTTTGTTGGGGAAAATGTGAAAAATAACAGTGTTTTCGCAAATTTCTACGCTTTGATTTATTGAAATCGCAATGATGCTGGCGAATATTTGAGCAATCGTTGCAATTAAAAATATATATAAATGATTATTTATGTTAATATCTTATTGTTGCGTTTTTGTCCATTATTTTATTTCTTCAAAAACGTCTTTTTCAGAAAAAACGTCAGATTTATCATTCATAACTAAAATTAATACGATTTTCTGACTTTATTAGCATTATGCAACATTGATAACAACGAATTTTTTAAAAATAAATACAACTCACTTTTGTGTTAGAGTCTGTCGAGAGTATATTATTTTCCGTCGGAAAATCGCAACCAAACACCCCCCCCCTCCCAAAAGAAATATTTTAGTTATTACTCCTATTGGTAAGAGTTAGATAGATAGAATGATAGTTAACTTGACTTGTCAAGTCTTTACTATGTGCAGGTAGATAGACAGATAGATAGAGACATACCTAACAGAATGTCTAAAAAGTTTAAGAGTCGTAAACGTGCATGTCTTGACTGTGTGCCGGAAGATGGACAGATAGATAGAAACATATGTAACAGAATGTCTAAAAGTTAAAGAGTCGTAAACTTGCATGTCTTGACTGTGTGCAGGAAGATGGACAGATAGATAGAAACATATGTAACAGAATGTTTAAAAAAGTTGAAGAGTCGTAAACTTGCATGTATTGACTATGTGCAGGAAGATGGACAGATAGATAGAAACATATGTAACAGAATGTATAAAAAGTTGAAGAGTCGTAAACTTGCATGTCTTGACTGTGTGCAGGAAGATGGACAGATAGATAGAAACATATGTAACAGAATGTTTAAAAAAGTTGAAGAGTCGTAAACTTGCATGTATTGACTATGTGCAGGAAGATGGACAGATAGATAGAAACATGTGTAACAGAATGTCTAAAAAAGTTGAAGAGTCGTAAACCTGCATGTCTTGACTGTGTGCAGGAAGATGGACAGATAGATAGAAACATATGTAACAGAATGTCTAAAAAAGTTGAAGAGTTGTAAACTTGCATGTCTTGACTGTGTGCAGGAAGATGGACAGATAGATAGAAACATATGTAAGAGAATGTATAAACTAAAAAAATTGAAGAGTTGTAAACTTGCATTCCCTGACTACGAAGCTCATTCATCAACAGTAAAACTTCTCATAAGCTATTATTAGACAGAAAAGCGGCACCTAACTCGTTAATGGATTTTCGTGGGGTTTGCCACAATTTGCCTCACTGGAACCAATTGGGCGATTCCGTGACATTTAGCCCGCATGACCTGCTGGGCGAAAACGGGGGGGGGGGGGGGTAGTGAACGAAAGAATCCGTACGGTACTTTTCTCCTGTCTTCCCTTTTTAGTTGTTTCTTCTAAAATTTATTTTGATTATCTGCTCTTTGTTTATCCGTCGATTTGCAGAAAACACAAGCCGACGTCTTTTCATATAATTGAAACAGAACACCAGCATGCTGTAGGTTTTGGTTTCGATTTTTCTTCTGGTCTATAGGTTAACAATAGACACCGAAAGAAGAAATAAGTATTATTAGCTTATTTAGGCATAAAATAACACAGTAACTTCCTTCTTTAGTTAGTGATTAGAGGGGAACAAACATCGATCACGATACCAGCTTAGATCAATCTTGCTAACTTGTTTTAACAAAAAGATTAATCAAAAATCACGCGAATGAGCAAGCTTTAGCCACAAAATGTCGAAAAGAATTTGTGCATTGTTTTATTGTAATTATCACCATTTATAATGATAACAAATTCAATAAGTTATACTTTCGGTTTTATTTTCTTACATTTTAATGTTTGTTTTAGCCCAAAATTATACAATAGCCTATCTGTGCTCTATCCACCACAAGGAATCGATCCCCGGATTTTAGCGTAATAAGTTCGTAAAAACACGTTTTTGTATACCAGACTCATTATTCATTAATAGATTTGCTGGGCCTTTTATGCGTGTTTCTAGCCATTTGGTGGTCGAACCTATATATACATAGTGTTAAAGCTAAGACATTTCAATTCATATATAATTTCGGAGGTTGTTAAATAAAAAATTATATTTCCACGTTTCAAAACTAGGTGTATATAATCACGATGTGTATAAAACTACGTGTACGTGGCACACTAACTAACAAAGAAGCAGAGAGCTGGAAATCTGTGTTTGTTTGTTTACCATAACGCTACACAATGGGCTATCTAGGCTCTTCCCACCGCGAGTATCGAAACCCGATTTTTAGCAGTATAAGCTCTCAGACATACCGCTGAGCCAGCGTGGGGTGGGGCTGTAAATCGAATGTTGTCCAACCAGATGTGATTTAAGTATGAAGCATTAATACAGTTGAACTCTAATCAAATATAATATAAGGCGGCTAGTGCCTTGATTAGAAGGCAATTGAATAAATAAGCAATCAATATGAATGTTTAGATTACATGGAGATTATAAATTCTGTAAACGTTTTTTCCCTCCTTAGAAATGGTAGATTTCGAAACATTGGTTAGATAAATGACTTGTTTGAATGGTATCGTTGAATGCAGTATCCTCTATTATTAAATAAATCTTTTACTGTGACAACTGCATATTTCTAGCTATTACAGATTTTGCATCTTTTACTGTGACAACTGTAGATTTCTAGCTATTACAGATTTCGCATCTTTTTATTGTGACAACTGCAGATTTCTAGCTATTACAGATTTCGCATCTTTTACTGTGACAACTGCAGATTTCTAGCTATTACAGATTTCCCAGCTCAGCTAAACAGAAATTACATGCCTTTTTTTCTGCAGTTTCGAGTCGTTTATCAATATTAAGAGTTCTTTAGTGGATTATTTCAAAATCAGGCTCTTTCCAGATTATCTATTGATTGAATAAGATACTTGGACCCTTTGATGATTAGATTTATATATAATATATATAAAAGGTAGGCAATTTATCAAAGGGAAACGTTTGAAATCGACAAGAAAAAATGAATACTCAGTAAATCTAATGTTCGATGGATTAATAAATGTATTGTCTACAAATTACGTACTTTACAACATAAAATTCAAATGAAATGCAACAGTATAGAACATATATTGATGGTAACTTGTAGTTCACGATTAGAGCATTCAAAAGTTTAACGTTTTTAAAAACGTTGATCGTTCGAGTGTTTTAGTCATTTATTTACAAAAGTACCTTGAATTTTTAAAACTTTTAATATTATAACTCGCGTCCTGATTTAAAACCGTGCAGTGACTTCATTCACCCTGTTTTGAAGCTGGAAGTCACATTCTGATATTAAGATCTGTAATCACAAGTGTTTATGGATAGCGGAACAGGTAATGTTGAAGGATGCGTGCTTTCATTGGTCCCCGCATGGCCAGGTGATATGTTAATAACGAACGTGGCTGCACGTGGCGCGTACGACTTTGTCTATTTATACAAGCTACATCCACAAGGACGGCTGAGTTCCACGTAGACTTGTTATCTTACCAAGAATAGGAGACGGAGTTGTTCACTTACCTGTTTAGTTGGAGTATGAATTTATAACTAACGTTTCTTGGTAATGTTTATGGCTTCGCGACTCGTCTGATTTTACCGATTACAAGATTAGACAAGGGTCATAGTGTTAGTTATGTAAAGGTAATTAATGAACCTGTTTTGATCCTTCTTGTAAACGATAGATGATTCCCTCTGCAGTATGAATCTTTTCCACCGGTCCAAATCTGACAGATGTCCTTCGCCAGTGTCCAGATCCATAAGCAGTCCAAATGAAGAATCGGTGTTACCCAATTCTCTCAATAACTATTCAACTGGTGATAGTGCTCGTGTTGTGCCATGCAATATTGTTTATTATTCCTTTCAAACGACGGGCCAGTTTTTTGAATCAGGAACAGTAAGCTCCCAGAACCAAAGAAACTTTTCGTGCAACCTTAAAAACTCGGAAAACAGGTCATTAAGCGAAGAAACTCCGAAAGATCCTCGAAGTAAAACCATCATACAACACAATAAAATTCCTAGAAGAAACAGCCCTCAAAAATCCCCCACTCCTCCCGCACTAATAAAGAAACGACGCCTTGCCGCTAACGCCCGTGAACGACGCCGCATGAACAGCCTCAACATTGCCTTCGACCGACTGCGAGAAGTGGTTCCTTCGATTGGAAACGACAGAAAACTGTCTAAATATGATACACTGCAGATGGCCCAGAGCTACATTACAGCTTTAGTCGGAATCTTGGAGAAGTAATGGATGCTTATTTTAAAGATATTATCCCCATAACTTTTTTATGTTTGGAAAAACGACAGCATTGAATTATCTTAAAGATTTAATTTAAAAAAATTATATCTTCTAATACAGATCTGGATTTTTGTATCATACTTGGTACATTGTTCTTAAATTATAACGATCCTATAACATACTACTATTATCAGCGTACTATAGAATATAAATTTATGTTTTTAGTATCATGTATTGGTAATGTAAGTCCAAAAATACAGTGCCTTGTAGTTGATACTCTGACCGCTACGAAAGTCGTATGTTTCGTGTAAAGAACTTTACGGTAAAATGCCTTAGTCAGGCATCATACGAGTGAAATGGTGTTTTTTATTTCACTTATTTTATGTAGCATAATAGTATAAATAGCATAATATCACAAATGTTCCATTTACTGGTTCTGGATGCTGCAATTATCATATCTACTTTTAAGCAGTGTAAGTTCAAAGTTTTTAACTTTTTATTAATATTTTTGACGTGTTTTGCTTGTTTTATTTCATTCCTTTTTCTGCCAGAATATGAACGAGAACTGGACATTCAGGAGACTTATCTAGAATGTAGATAATGGCTGGTAATATCAGCAACAGATTCGGTGTAATGTTTCTTGTTGTTAAAGGAGTTTTCTTTTAATTGTTTTAGTATTTTATAAGAGAAACCTTTGTAAATAGTAAAGTCTATATAGTTTCACATGTAAATAAAAATGTAAAATCGATGTTTTTTACGCCTTTATACAATCTAAAGTACTTAATTTTGTATATGTTTTCCAACTTACTCATACCTGTATTCTCAAGCCCTTACTTACACGAAACGTCCACTAGTCAGAATGGTAAGGAGGCGGATGTGAATTCTGTCAAGCTGAAGAGATTGTAACGATGTTTTATACATGCGAATTTTGGTTTGAAAATAAATATTAAACTTTAGGCGTTTGTGCTTTTTTCGTTACTTTGTTAAAAATTAAGCAATAACATGAATTCCAAAACTGTCAATTTAGGCCACGAATACACTTGTTTAAAAGTAATATAAGTGAGCAGTTGTACACAGGCTAGACACATGTATCTATTTGTCTGAAACGGAAAACTTCTCTAAGAAAAAATATATAGACTTAAAGCATTTGTTTACTCTACAAGCCAATCACAAGTAATGTTACACATGAACGTATTTCCGGGCCAATCACAAGTAATGTTACACATGAACATATTTATAAGCCAATCACGAGTAATATTATATATGAACATTTTCCAAGTGCAAATTGTCTAAATGGTTCAACTTTTCGACAGATCGTGTTTTTTTCTAGAAAACGTTCTTCGAGATTGAATAGAAATAATCTCAAAATTATAGTGGATATGCTACATGACAGAACGACAGGGCTCGACAACTTTGTATATCTGTTCTAAGTTATATATTCTGAAAAATATTAAGCGCGTATGATTGAAAACTATGTTATACTTAGGGGTATTCGTCTTATCTATAATCATACTCACATGATATTTTGGAGAAATCTTTTCTCTGTAGGTTTCCACAAGGTGCTGGTTCCGTAAAAATTGTTAGTCTCCAAAAAAAATTTAGTTTTTTTTTTTTACGAGGAATCTGATGGATAGAAGAGATTATATCATGTTCTGTATTATTTAGTACATGTTGGATATTTTGAACAACTTTTCACTATGTAATATATTAACGCATTTTTCATTTATAAATGTATATGTAGAAAAAGAACTAAAGTAAAGAGATAGAATTAATTTTATTCAATTCAGAGGTCGCCAAGCTGACGATTTCTGGTATTCAAGGAAAGGCCTCCTGGGCAACATGTGGCAGACGAAAACATACTTAAAACTCCATTTTTATATGCCTATAATTTGAGATCCGCAACAGACTAACGAAGATGAATCTAGAAAAGAAAAGAAAAACATCTACAGTCTACCATGGGTTGTGTCATTATTATTAGGCTTATCAGCTTACAAAGTGTAAACCAACATAATTTGAATGTACATGTCACATATTAGCATCAATTTGCATCACTGAATAACCATTTACATAAATATACAAATAGAAAAGATGTTATTCTAAAGCGTACCCTAATTATAATTAGAACTATTAAATATAATTGAAATATAAATAAAGATGAGGCACGAGCTGTACATACGTTATCATTTTTGATTAATTTAAAGACCGTCTAACTTATAGAAAATCGCTGGTTTTTATTAGTTGTTTTTTTGAAGTTTTACTTAAAACGTGTTTCAGACATCCATTCACCTGTGATCCAGCTGCTAATCTTGATTTCCTTGTATAAAATCAAAGAAATTTTAAAGAGACAAATTAATAGTAATCACCAAGTTTTACAGTGTAAAGATATCAAGCACAACAGGTGTCTCTAGTAGATATGTGTAGGCACGTGCAATTTCAAGAGGCTTTGATAGGTACTCCTCAGTCTGTCGGTGGCTATTGAAAAAGTAACGCGCTCGCGTGCACCAGTGCAGCTGCAGCCACTCAGCTGCTTTGGTTGTGTACGTTATTTGTTTGATAATGTGATCGTATCAATTACAAGCTGTTGTTACCAGTATAACAAACTTAGTGTTACTACAAATCACATTCAAGTTGTATCACATGGGTCCGTCTTGATGACTATCATTTTCAAAATCTCGTTGTTTGTTTTATACATGTACATTTTGAAAGACTAGGCTACAAAACCTCAAATAACATCTTGTAACCGTGCTTACTTTAACTCCGGAATTATCGATGGGATCTATCTATCTAAAGAAAATGAGACTTTGTGAACTCATTTTTCTAAACTACTTAGGCTAGGCATGTCTGGATGTAAATACGAGGATTTAAATTCGCGTCCCTTTGCTATATAAACGCGTTTAGCACTTTGGGGCCATAGATATATTATGAGGTGAAATTTTTACATCCAATCAGAAGCAGCTCAAGATCTGGTAGCTGACTATAGCTTCTTTCCCTATAGTCTATCAGTTCAAAACCATGAATTGCTACGCCCAGATAGCCCTTGTTTAGACTTACGCTAAGTTCTTATGTAAAAAAATTATTCTAATAATAATGCACGAAACTGATCGGCTGATTTCAGTTGTTTCTAATACCATATGCATGATAAAAATAACATCAATATTACAATTAATCCCGCTAATTATTGCTGGTGTTCCTTTTGTATTTTACATACAAAATAAAAGATCTACAAACGGTCAGTAATTTCAAGGATAATTCATCGTCAAGACGCACACAGTTAGGATATTTTATTTCAAAACTTCAGACCTCCATTTCAAATATTTCCTTAAACTTTTTTATCAGTTAAATCTTCCTTATCACAAGACTTGACTTGTCCTCATTTTTAGTACTAGCCTTTCGATGTTTTAGGGATACAACTACAGAATTTGTTAATGTCACATCGAAAGATCAACACACACACACACACAAACGAGCTTGTTATAAAAGGATTGAGAGCGGCCTAGTGATTAACGTTTTAGGCTGTAAATTGGAGGCTTCGTGCTTTGCGCCCCGTTGCCACCCAAAATCAAATTTTAAAATTCGTGCTCCGCATTGTGGATCTGAGGTCCGCGCCTCCTTACCGCCAAGTAAACAAAATAAAACAAAAATCGCTCTCCTCAATTTTGGGCCGTGGGTGGATTATAATAGTGACTACATAATCCTACTGTTCGTACGAAGGGAGTAACCCAAGAGTTAGCGGTAGGTGGTGTTGGTTAGCTGCTTTCCCTCTAATCTGTCAGTTCAAAATTAGAGATGGCTTGCGCAGATAGCCCTCGAGTAGCTATGCGCGAAATTAAATAAACACATGATATCATTAACTTTTAAATCTCGTTTTCTTTAAATGTTTAGCCATCGCCAGTTATCAATTCGTACTTGAACCAGTACTTCTCAAGAAATTTAAACATCGCAAAACAAGATCAGATGACGAGCAGAGAACAACGAAAGTGGTGAGTTTGGAAAAATAACTTCTACTAATTTAAACTGTTTGTAATATTTTTAAACCTTTACCACGAAGCCTGTTGAATTGCAGGTGGCCTAGGGCAGCTTCTTTCTAAAAATACTTCATTTAGAAGTCACTTGAGATTAATTGTTCTATCAAAACCTACCTTCTGGTGTGTTAGTTCTCGGCTGCTTAGAGCTTCAGCGAAGCCAAATGAGTGGGTGATATCAGTGCCTCAATATGTTTTTTATCTTAATTGTCTTGTAAAGTATTTTTCTCTCGTCCACATTATCTTTCAGTTGACTCCAAGCTAAAGATCTGCTGACTGGCAGATAAGAACATAATAGGTCTATAGTCTAAATATATCACCCTACTGCTGTAGTCTTAGCCGGGACAGATAAAGCCAGCTCCTACGTACACAAGGTGACAGGTGATCCTGGATAACATACAGCGCTCTCAGTTTCCGGCTGACAGTATTAACACCTGTGTTCCACGGTTTCGGAAGATTTTCATTGACTAAACATTGGAAATGATCATTAACACAAAGTCACAACTCAATGTTTACATTTGTGTGTTACATTTATGATTGTTTTAGAAGAGACTGATTAATTCAAGAGCAACATAACATTTCTTTGAAAAAAAAAGCGTTCTTTACTCATCTTTATCAACAGAATGAATTCAAGTCATTCTGACACATACAGAGAAGAGGATATCATAGATATATATATCTGTCGATAACCCAACTTGTGGTCAGCAGAGGACTCGAGAGCGGCTCGCTTTTATACCTGGATTAATAACTGTAGGGATTTCTCCATATACATGGTGAAGGTGAAAGATAGCTAGCTAGCTCTCCATAAAGCCTTCTATTTTAATAATAGCAAATCAAACACCTCGACGTTTGTTGATAACAAGTCTAAATAGAACACACGCTGATGGTTTTGGCGGTAACTTGTGTCATAGGCTATTCAAACAATTGGGAATTGGTCGTATTTTAATTCCGCGTCATGTGACCCCACTCAGTAACAATGTTAC